GTGTTCTCTCTGTGACGCAGATGTGACATACAACTGTGTTCTCTCTGTGACGCAGATGCGACATACAACTGTTTTCTCTCTGTGACGCAGATGTGACATACAACTGTGTTCTCTCTGTGACGCAGATGTGACATACAACTGTGTTCTCTCTGTGACGCAGATGTGACATACAACTGTGTTCTCTCTGTGACGCAGATGTGACATACAACTGTGTTCTCTCTGTGACGCAGATGTGACATACAACTGTGTTCTCTCTGTGACGCAGATGTGACATACAACTGTTTTCTCTCTGTGACGCAGATGCGACATACAACTGTGTTCCCTCTGTGACGCAGATGTGACATACAACTGTGTTCTCTCTGTGACATACAACTGTGTTCTCTCTGTGACGCAGGTGTGACATACAACTGTGTTCTCTCTGTGACGCAGATGTGACATACAACTGTGTTCTCTCTGTGACGCAGATGTGACATACAACTGTGTTCTCTCTGTGACGCAGATGTGACATACAACTGTTTTCTCTCTGTGACGCAGATGTGACATACAACTGTGTTCTCTCTGTGACGCAGATGTGACATACAACTGTGTTCTCTCTGTGACGCAGATGTGACATACAACTGTGTTCTCTCTGTGACGCAGATGCGACATACAACTGTGTTCTCTCTGTGACGCAGATGTGACATACAACTGTGTTCTCTCTGTAATGCAGATGTGACATACAAATGTGTTCTCTCTGTGACGCAGGTGTGACATACAACTGTGTTCTCTCTGTGACGCAGATGCGACTGGAATTTCTACTCGGATTGGCAAAGTCAAAAAACACACAATTGGTGCCCATGGGGATGCCTACTTCTTGCCTATAAATCGTTCCCCAAATTTTAAATGGCTATTGAAAACAGTTTTAAATTGGCTGGCGGCCATATTGAAAAAAGGAATCCAACTTTTACCAAACTAGGGTGTCATCGTTGGTGGAAGCAAGTAGCTTCATTGGTCCATTGGTTTCTGAGGAAAGATCGACGTACGACCGACAAACAGGCCATGGCATTCTTTCACTTGACTTTAGTTGAGCCAAATTGTGGATATTCCTGACAAGCAGATGTTCACAGAATGTGACAGGTCAAATATGGTTGGCATCAACACCATAACAACTCCCCAATAAATGTTTTGTTTTTGGGTCGACATTAGGGATGTGAATTATCAATCAAACAATCAATGACCCGTGAAGATCCGGGGTAGAATACGTCTTCATCAACCCATGCTTGTCGTAAAAGGCGACTATGCTTGTCGTAAGAGGCGACTAACGGGATCGAGTGGTCAGGCTCGCTGACTTGGTTGATGCATGTCATCGTATCCCAATTACGTAGATCGATGCTCAGGATGTCAATCACTGGATTGTGTGGTCCAGATTCGTTATTTACAGACCGCCGTCACACAGATGGAAAATTGCTGAGTGCTGCCTTAAACAAACAAACCAATAGTGAAGCGAATGGGAAGTTGTGCTCAAATCTGATTGGTAGGAAAAAGAAGAATGCGAACGGGGTCGATAATCCCGTCTGTACGCATCGTCACATGCCTTTACTACTATCCAGTGTATCATAGCTGCAACTAGGCTAAAATTGCCGTCCAATCAAATTACTCCAGTGAGGGAGAGTTAGCCGGGGTGTCAGCTTAATATGGGAGGAAGACCTGAAGTGATGCAGGTCTCAGACGTTTACCACTTTGGTGAAACCGTACAGCATAGCCATGGTGCAGGCAAATCAAGAAACAATCCGTTCAATCCGGGATTCGAACCCACAATCATAGGTGTCTGGCGTGCAAACTCTGCACAGTGAATTGCGTCGCCTTTGACGATTGGGCCACCCGTGCCCAAGTCACTTTTGAAACGAAGCTATGGTGGAGAATAGTTTCAGGTTTTTCATCACAACAGAATGGAGAAATAATACACTGGATGCCACGACACTGTAGTCAGTCAGGTCAGGGTCGAGTGTTCGTCCTTCCAGGGTATATCAGTCCATACTTAGCAGCTAATAACTAGCTTCTTATATTCGACTCACGAGGAATGTTAAAACCACACTCAACAAGAGCCCACTAATTTGAAGATCGAGTATTCAGGCTCTGTTTGTCAGATCCAGCAATGAGGCTGTCTCATACCACGAGGCGTGGGTCGTTGGTAATCCTTTTCAACACTTTTAGTGAGTGTGAGTGAGTTGGGTTTAACGCCGCTATGGACAAGTATTCCAGCTATGCTACAGCATGTCGGTTTAATGTGGGAGTACAGCCCGAAGTGATGCAAGTACAACTTTGGTGAAACCCACGAGCACGAGAAGGGTGCCGGGCAAACCGGCATTCGATAACTTCAAGCCGCCGTGAAACAGACGGAGTAAACAACATTCACCACTAGTCTCTAAAACTTACTCAGGATACCACCTGTGAAAAAGCTTTTGTTCGTTTGCCGCCGCACTGGGCAATATTCCAGCTCTATTGTGGGCGCAGGTAAATACAAGGCTGGTCAAAAAGTTCTAAGCCTAACAAACAAAACCAACAATTGTGAAAGTGTTTGTCATTTTATTTTTCTCCCTGCTTTTCAAAACACTTCTCATATCGATAATGAAGCTTTTCAAAACCTATGGAAATAAGTTTTCTGAACCCACCCTGAAAAATTAAACATTCACGGTAGCTTTGGGGTCACCGTCGTCAAAGCGCGTTCCACGAAGGTGTTCTTTCAATTTAGGAAACTGGTGGAAATCACTTGGGGCCAGGTCTGGCGTGTATGGAGGGTGAGGAAGCTATTCGAACCCACACTGTCGCACAGTCGAGAGGTGTGAGAAGAGGCACTGTCATGAAATAGAAGAACTCCAGCGTTCCTCGCCATTTTTCTTTGATAGAATCTCTCAGGCGATGAAGCAAATCAGCATAGTAGGCATCGGACAAGAGAGTTCTTAAAGACCAATTTATTCAACAGTGGCGAGAATGTATCATACAAGGTTCAAAAGGTTTATATTAGCAGCATTTAGAAGAATTACCAAAATTCGAAAATTTTCTATTACTTCCCCAAACTATCTACTTGCCAATTTTACAATTTCGCATATCCAATCATCAATTGCCCATTGAAACCGGCCGATGGCGAGGGTTACTGAGAGAAGTGTCTGCACACTATGCAATTTATCTGCAGTTGGGGGACGAATTTCACCATCTTTGAGGTGTGACTTCTTTACATCCCAAAGAATTGTTATATCTGGCGAAATATGTGTAAACTGAGTGAAACGCTATTACCTAAAAATATATCCACTTTGAAACATCTGTCCAGATTCATTGTACATTTGGACACATTATTACGTTAAATTGTCTAAATCAATTATAAGGCGTGTTACCATCTTGATCCACCGTTGGTGGTTTTTCAGAGAAATAAACTGAACTGAACTGAAATGGTAATCAACAAGGATAATACCTGCATCCCATAATATAGTGGCCATAACTATCTTCACTTATCTTGAAGACTTGAATGTCTTTGGTGCCGGAGAAGTGAAATGGTGTCATTCCATTGATTGACCTTTTGACGCGGGATCATAGTGGTAGACCCATGTTTCATCACCTGTTACTAATCTCTTTTTGAATTTGACGAAATCTTCCTCAGTTAGCTCTAAATTTTCTCACAATGTCAGTTCGTTTTTTCTTAAGATCAGAATTTAGAAATTTTCGCACCAAAGAAATTCAAGTCTTCTTGACCAGCCCCCGTATTTGGACCAGAAAAACAGGTGATTATTAGTATGAGAGATGTCCAGTACCATCCGGTTACGATGCCATACAAACGTGACAACATCTTTGCAGTTTCATCCTGCTATGGAATATTTTCGTTGTTTGTTATAACAAGCTCTTTCTGGGAAGAAGCAACTTGATACCCTCCTCGTTAAAGCTTCATAATTGTTTGTTGTTAAACAATTGGGTGAGTGAGTGAGTTTGGTTTAACGCCGCTTTTAACAGTATTCCAGTTATATCGCGGCGTGTCAGCTTAATGTGGGAGGAAAGCCCCAAGTGATGCAGGTCTCAGACGTTTACCACTTCGGTGAAACCCACGAGCACGGGTATGGTGCTGACAAACCTAGAAACATAATCGGTGCGAACCGGGATTCGAACCCACAATCATAGGTTTCTGTTGTGCCCAAGGGACGCAACTCTGCACAGCGAATCGCGGCGCCTTAGACGACTGGGCCACCCGTGCCCCCTGTTGTTAAACAAAGCAGTCAGCAATGTTCCAGGTGTATGGTGGCAACCTGTTAACAATCTGGACCAGACAAACCAGTGATTTACTATAGTATCTTGTGAGCAATGGTTGATTTCGGGTGGTACAATGCCATGAAACAGTGGGTCTTTCTAATCTCAACACAAGTCTGACAAGCGGTTCCACAAGTTCCACTATCTCCCTTTCCCACTCAAGAAAAGCAAGACATGACTCTTTGTCATGATAGAAAAATATTTTAATTTTACATTTTCAAAATACAAAAAATACATGGACGATGCCAAGTATGTCATGACATGGCCTGTGAAGGTGTCTTAATCCTTCATGAAATATTTTGGGCTAAACAATGTAGTTGTTAAAACTAAACAAATAAAGGCAGAATATTCAATCAACCTGTCACTGAACTAAAAAAAATCATAAACAACTTAACTGCCTCCTTTTATAAAAATTAAAGCTAATTATATACTTCGAGTCTGAAATATACAAAATTACAATTCTTAAACATATCAAACAAGATAGTTCATGTTCCATCATGGCAAATCGGAACACAAGAATCAGAAGAACAAAACATATGAATTATCAAACATATATTCTGTATAGGCGTGACAGATTAATTTGACTTTAAGTGGTTTGGTTATCGTTGGCATCCATTCCGTTGTTTGTACTCTCCAAAGTCAGTTCCATGAAAATGTCAAATCTGATCTTCATTTCTGAGTGAGTGAGTGAGTGAGTGAGTGAGTATGGTTTTACGCCGATTTTAGCAATATTCCAGCAATATCACGGCAGGGGACACCAGAAATGGGCTTCACACATTGTACCCATGTCGGGAATCGAACCCGGGTCTTCGGCGTGACGAGCTAACACTTTAACCACTAGGCTACCTGACCGCTGCCTTCATTTCTGAACCAATGTCTGATAAGGAAGCCACAGGTGTGACAACTGATAAGCAACTGACTAACTTATCTACACAAAATAAACCATGCTACGAAACATAATAAGACTTGGCTTTAATTAAGCCTGAAGGTAACTAGCAGACTAGTACCGTACCTCTAAATCAAAACAGCTGTTCCAATTCATAAAAAAAATAAGAGTATTCTGTACACTCACAAAAACATAAAATCAATGGTAAAACGTTTTAAAAATCAGAATTTTCCTACGATCACTTGAGGATCAGAAAATGGCATATTTATAACAGCAACATTTCGTTTGAATGTTTCAATTGTTTGATGAAGGTTCTGTGGATGAAATGTTCACTCAGTCATTGCACTAGTACATCAACTTGTGATTGCATCTCGGAGTACGTCTCCAGCTCCTCCGTTAGCTGCCATTTTAGCTTCCTCCTCTTTCTCTTCCTTGATTTTCAAAAGTTTACCAAGTTTTGTATACTTGCTGAGAATTATGTAACAGTAGCTCTCGTAAAACACAGGATCCTCTGGTGAAGTCTCGTCTACTTCATATCTGCAAAATAATAAATATGTTTCATGTACGGTGTGTGTTTGTTGTTATGATGCTAGCCTGTAAGTAATTGAAACTGGACTAGACAATACCAGAATACAGTGACTGATATTGTGAGTGAGTGAGTGAGTTGGGCTTAACGCTGCTTTTAACAGTATTCCAGTCATATCACGGCGTGTCAGCTTAATGTGGGAGGAAAGCCCCAAGTGATGCAGGTCTCAGACATTTACCACTTCGGTGAAACCCACGAGCACGGGTATGGTGCTGACAAACCTAGAAACATAATCGGGGCGAACCGGGATTCAAACCCACAATCATAGGTTTCTGGCGTGCCCAAGGGACGCAACTCTGCACAGCGAATCGCGGCGCCTTAGACGACTGGGCCACCCGTGCCCCCTGACTGATATTGTGAGCAACAATTCACACTTTGGGAGTACGATGACACGCAGTCAACAAATATATGAGTCTGACCACCTGATTCAATACGTTGCCTCTTGCAACCAGTACAGGCTGCTGGGGTCCAATTAATTCCCTGACTGCCCATGGGGGTTTTCTTGCATAAAGTGCATCAAGTCACCAAGCCAATCCATTCTGTTGCCTCTAACAACAGGCAAAACATGCTGGGGGCCTATTCAAACCCAGAAATACCGACATGTAGTCAATCGTATTGGCCTTAATTATAAATTGTTATTCTTATAATTGTGTTGTACCATGCCCAATCTTCCATAGCTGGTTCTCGCATGGGCCTGGGGGAGGGGGGAGAAGAGGCTGGTGAGATAAGGGTGGGGTCGTGAAGAAAATGACATTGCAAATGAGGGGGAGGTGGGGTGTAGCCAAAATTTATCACAACTATTGAAGTTAACTCACTTTAGCTTGCTTGTGAAGAAGTTGTATCCTTCCAGGTTGTGTTTGAACGTTGTCAGCATCACTTTCCTCATTTCATACCTGCAGACCAAGATGTAGTCAACTTGTCACGATACGAAACGACAATCATTTAACAAATAGGAAATTTGTACCTTAACAGCTAGTGAATGTTTATTGCTGCAGGTACAGAGCTACAGACAAGCTGCGTATTTGCGTAAAATACCCCAAAACAATATTCAAAACCCTTTTTCTATCAATTAACTTGCGGATAGAAACGCATGTATTAAAATGAAAATCCCAAATGTATAACAACGGCATGCGTAAATATCCAAAGAAGCTTTTTCAGCATGCGTACAATGGACCTAATTTCTGCAACACAATTACGAGCTAATTTACTTTCCGAGTCAAGCCTTTAGTTAGAACCCTAATATATACATCTGAAAAATTATTTTATTTTTTTTAAACCTCAAAATATTAGCTCATTATGAGAAAAACCCAATAGAGTGATGAATAGATAAGTGAAGAAATATTGGTTACCCATTGAAAAAGTAACATAACAACCCAACATTAAAATAGAAACCTTTGGGTAAAAACTCAATTGTTCAAAAGTTATCTGGAGTTCTGAGGTAGCCATATTCAAGCCATACCATGGCAATCTGTAAGTATTGATAGGCACATTACAGCATGAGCTACGAGTAAAGCCATCGGGGTACGTCAACATACAATCCTCTAAGTCACGTGACCTCCAGATCTCCATATTAGTTTGTTCTCATTACAATCATGAGGTACTGGGGACCCATTCGGACTCAGGATCCCCACAGGGTTGATTCTACACTCGAATATTTGAGGCTGTTCAAACTGCAAGACAACATTCATTGTGTTCATGATAACCATATTTGGCTGTCCTCATTCTGTGACTTGAGCATGTGACAGCCAATGAATAACGAATACCAGTATTACCATTTACTGGCCAATAGCACTGTATGTATTTCTAGGTGGGGAAATATACTTCAAACTCCTTGATTTTATCTTGTTTATTCTATTTTCCAGACAAGTGTACAATCTAAATACATACTACTCACTTGTTTGCCATTAACTCGATGATCTGTGTTAGGAATTTACCCAAACCTTTCTTGCGGACATCCTTTATCAACTGGATTTCATATCTGAAACAGAAGGGGGACCTCAAGCTGACATCTTTATCTATAAAGAAAATCACGTAATATTTACAAAATCCCAAGATATGTTTGCCATGGACAAACACAGATGACAATCGCCATGGTTACAGGCAACAGATTTCTAGTACCCACACTTTATGTCACAAATATTGTTACTGATATTTAAAATGTTTTTTTAAACATGAACAAAACTGTTAACCCGATGTCACATACAGATAAACTATACTGTATGACAGCTTTCAGTTTGTTATGGACCTATAGTCAATTGGTTGCATACTGGTAAACTATACTGTATGACAGCTTTCAGTTTGTTATGGACCCATAGTCAATTGGTTGCATACCGGTAAACTATACTGTATGACAGCTTTCAGCTTGTTATGGACCCATAGTCAATTGGTTGCATACAGGTAAACTATACTGTATGACTGCTTTCAGTTTGTTATGGACCCATAGTCAATTGGTTGCATACAGGTAAACTATACTGTATGACAGCTTTCAGTTTGTTATGGACCCATAGTCAATTGGTTGGAGTTACTGGGATAAACTGTTGATCTAAGAGCTGTTTATGGCAAGGCTTGATACAATGCTGGACTACTTATGGCTTTTATAGCATGATAGACATATTAACTACAATAAAATAGAATCGGGGTTCTTTAATTTCTTTTTAAAGTATACATAAATGGTTGAAAATTATGAATAATCAAACTCCCAGTGAACACAATACCATTTGCTTTAACTGAACACATATTAATTAGTGTGCATCTATTTCGGATATTAAGAGACACCTTAAAATATCCAGTTCCCAAGCAGTCTAGTGAGCCTAGGGAGTGAGTATGGTTTTACGCCGCTTTTAGCAATATTCCAGCAATATCATGGCTGGGGACACCAGAAATGGGCTTCACACATTGTACCCATGTTGGGAATCGAACCCGAGTCTTCGGCGTGACGAGTGAATGCTTTAACCACTCGGCTACCCGAACACCCCAGTGAGCCTAAGGAATGGCAGATGTGTAAAGATTGACACAAGGTCAAATAAAGCCATGAATTCTTTATGGAGGTCAAGAGGTTCACACCTAGACACCAATAATTGGTACTACCATAACCCCCATCGCTAACATCAGTTAATTAATAACTATCACTGTCAAGACGAGTTGTGCTATTTGCTCTCATTTTGCTGAATATCATAATGAATCATGCAGCGACTTATTTCATCAAGTGTTTCTTGGGAATCAGCTCACATAAGGCAGGGATGAGAATGGATATGTTCCTTTTCAGCTGAAACTTTTTTTCAATGGAGCATGATCCATGATTTGTGGGGGGGGTTTATGGGCCATCAGATTTGAACAAATTTGTGGTCACTAAAATTGTTTCTATATTTTAGCATGCATTGCACTACAAAGTTGCTTTACTAAAGAAAACTACTAAGGCTGTTACGATTCACTCGCATATTTGGTGAATCAAACCGTATCCATTCATGTATCGAAAACATTATTCATGGTCAGTAGAATCAAATATTTATGAATATGCAGTCATGTGCATCTACATACCCTGTACCTAAAAATATCCCTAAGAACATATTATATGCAGAGATTTCTTTAAAGACAACACTCATATAAATAATTTGACAGTATTGTGGTCATCGGTCATTGTGGTATTTGAGCAGATACTAGTACCTGGATAAATGCAGTATATGAATGTATAATATATTAATAATTAACCAACCATGTCAAATAATTAATGTTATTTTTCACTGAATATAATAAATTGTACATCAACTGCTGACTTGTTATTGTATTCGTGAATAAATATTCTTATTCGTTACCCTATATTCATGATACGAATCGTATTCACCTCATAGTGTATTCGTTGCAGCCCTAAAAACTACCCAAACTGTTTCAAAAAGTAAAGACAAACAAGAAATGTTTCTCGTGTGGCGTAACCAATCTGAACATCAGCCTCATCCACAACCTCTGCTGGGTCTTAGAGGGACAACTTACAAGTACAACACTTCATCATCACACTCAATGTCGAATCGGAAGTGGACAAAAGCAACTGGTTTATTTTCTTGGTCTCGGGCTAACAAATACCAAGCCTTGTCTTCTGTAAGCTCCTCCCTCTTTTCTCTATCTTTCCAGCCCCATTCACAAGATTCGTATCTGAAACAGAATGCAACACTTAACTAACATTCCATTTCAGCCCTCAAAATTCACGCTTGTCTGCTAGCCTCAGACTACTAAATTGTGCTGAGGGCAAGTAACAAAATAATGATGGTAGTCCTCATAGGCTAGTAGCATTTTGGGACTATAATTCTGAACCAGTTCTCAATGCTTCAATTTTGCTACAAACTGGAACTCAATAACACTGACAGGCAATGTAAACATTATAAACATTTATGTCTCCTTGAAGCAGGACTAGCTACAAAGTCTTACAACTTGTGAAATTTAGTTTCAACTAGTTCGCGTGACTAGTCTTTAAAAGTACATTCTGAGACCATAAATTGTGACTAAATGGAATAATGGAATAGGAAATTGATTATCAACAGCCAGAATAATGTATATGAACTAATAACTAACCAATGTTAGGCACAACTTTTATCTAAAGTGAGCTCATTTCTGAAACTGTAGAAAACTTACAACGACTGCATGTTCTCTCTGGTCAGCTGGAAGATCCATTCTACGGTCTCTTGGTCCAAATCTGCCACTTTTTTACACTCGATCTTCACACTCACCCTGCAGGACACATAACTCCAGGTAATCCCAGGTACCGTATTCGACGTATTAAGCGCCCAGGGCGCTCTCAAAATTGGAAATAGTGGGCTCTTATTAGAATATAATTTTAACAAAAACAGAGTTGAAAAATTGTAAATTTCGTACAGTAGTTTATGCTGACAGCCTGAAATGATTCAAAAGAAAAGTATGTACGTATCATACACGAGAGATATATTTTCCAGAATTTAATTGTCCACAATTAAGGGTGCATATAACACACGAGTGAGTATTATACACGAATCAATAAGTCTTGTGTACATTGATCAATCGGAAGGGGTGCTAATTGGGATTGTTCACTAGCAAATATATTAGAAAATATCGCCATGGGCGCTTATTAGAGCGGGGCGCTTATTACGTCGAATACGGTATGTCGACTACATGACTCTAACATTATAGGAATGGCTGATGTGATAGTATGAGTGGCAAGCCATTAACAGTGTGCAAAGAAACCCACCTTGTTTTTTTTCACAATAACCAATATTTCAACAGTAAAGAAACTAGTTTCATAACCTCACACAAATTTGTTTGTTTCTCAACACTAAACCTGAAACTTATGTTTCTTAACCATCTCCTGATGTCTCCACTCAAAGTAAAAACCCAACAAAGAATGTCCAGTGTCATATGATATTGGCAATGAGTGAGTGAGTATGGTTATACGCCGCTTTTAGCAATATCAGGGCAGGGGACACCAGAAATGGGCTTCACACATTGTACCCATGTTCGGGAATCGAACCTGGGTCTTCGGCATTACGAGCGAACGCTTTAACCACTAGGATACCCCACCGCCCCTATTGGCAATGAAACTTTTTATAACATGACAAATAAAGTCTCCCTTTTCAACTGAAAATACTTTGGATTAAACGTAAGGATACATACCTTACACAAAGAGAGTGTGCAGAATATAATTCAAAATGGCCATGACACTTACCCATTTCGTTCATACTTTGTGAAAACAGGAAATGGTGCCAGTGGATCCCCAAGCTGAAGGAAGACAGCAAGTTCTTATTAGACATTAAAATACATCTCTGGGATAAGGTTTTCAGGAATGTAAATATTAGAATCAGTCAATAAGTCATCAGGCATAAACCACATCTAGTAAGACCTTTACCATGTTCACCCTTAATCCTTTCCAATACAGTTCTGATGAATTATACCGAATGTGACAGATCATGTTGTGCATCTATTTTTAACTTGGCAGTCATGGAGTGGCTTGAAATCATTTGACGGTAACAAGATAGCGTCTGATTGACTCATCCCGCTTTGTGAGGCATTATCACGATAAAAATCTACAAGATGTGGTCATTTGACTATCAAAATGTAAACAGAAATAAATGTTCTCAGAGGAAAGACATAACTTTAGTGTATTGCGATTGTTCTTTGACACGCAAGGAGAAAACACAGTACGCTAAGATAATTGAATTTGCTGCACTTTCAATATTTGAATTTAATATGATTCAACATGCCCTCTATCATAAATTAGTTTGCTATCAAAGTTGGGTGTTGCATATCATGGCATATGTCTCTGATATATTGACAAATTTGGCAAGGATTCCAACCTACAGTAAATAACCAAAGGGTGATGTTTTCATTGATTTGGGCGTGAAAGCAATTCATTAAAGAAACCTACCTTATTTGCAGTTTCAACCTTCTGAACGGATACAGCCAGTTTAGCATTTTCCTGAAAAAGAGATGAAAACTGATGAAACGTCAACTTACAAGATATGGATTTATATTTAATAATGGCATTTATTGATGACTGTGACAAATTGTTTTCTGTAAAGACGGTCACATTGTAATTTGCTTGAAAGAACAGTTTACATGAAATAAAATCAACTCACGATCAGTCACGAACAAACATATACATACCTCCTTTCTTCTCAACTTCTTCTCTTTCCCTTTAGCTGATTTTCTCTGCAATAATATTGTAAGTGAGATATGCTTTGATACCACTGTTATGTCTGCATTATTTAGGAGTAATTGCTTGACTGGTAACTTTTACTCGCAGTACTAACGTGTAGGTTACTTCTTGTCTTTTTCGTGCCAACAAAATATGTTACAAATGTACGATCGTTTAAAACTTCTCCCTTGTCACTTACACAGTAGTTCGCTTAATGATGGAATAAGAATATCAATGGCTTAGAAAAAAAACGTAAAGATGAAAGAAGTTAACTTACACCCATGTTTCGTTTCACTCAAAATACGCTCAGAAGACAAGCACAATGAATGCTACTATTTCCCGCGGTATTTCGGGGCGAAGAAAAGCGCATGCGTGCAAAGGGGACCTAACTCGCCCAGTCATGCGTTTCACTGACCGCGTGAAATAGTGTTTTCTGTGATCGAGAAATGCCAAGCTCGAGCCCTTGTTTAAAAAATAGAAAACCTCCCGAAACTTTCAATATTCAAAAGTGACCCTTTTCTCATATATTTGATATGTACATTTTCAGGGTAGTATTTTATTTGTTTTGTAAGATAGGCATTTCTTAGAAGTTGACGGATGACAAAGTAGACACAATATATGGATAACAACTTCACTATTTTGCTGTAATAACGAAGTTTTATTTGTTAATTATTTCAGAACCGAGAAATAGAAATCGGCATGGCTGATGTCCCTAAAAAAGAAAATCAGATTGTTTGCATCCTCATTCACAGAAGAAAAAAAATGTTTTGAAGCTGTTCCCGATTATGATTTTTTGTTTCTGAACATGCTAACAAAACAGGATATATCAATTCTTTGATAGGCATTACTTAGAAGTTGAGGGATGACAAAGTGGACACAATTTATGGATAACAAATTCTTTAATAACTGCGAGGGCGACGTTTCGGTATAGATCCTTGTACCGTTTGCAAGCAAAACAGGATATGTCACCGGAAGCAAATAAGGATAGGTCGATTATTTTGCAACTTCTAACTTAGCGACAACAACCACATACTAACACATGGAAGTTAGTTAAGCGCCCCCAGTTATCACCAAATGGATCATGTCAACAGAGACCATACCGGTATCATTATATGACAGTTACACGCCCGATTTACGTGTTCGGGGCGGCCGGGTAGCCTAGTGGTTAAAGCGTTCGCTCGTCACGCCGAAGACCCGGGTTCGATTCCCGACATGGGTACAATGTGTGAAGCCCATTTCTGGTGTCCCCCGCCGTGATATTGCTGGAATATTGCTAAAAGCGGCGTAAAACCATATTCACCCACTCACTGATAAACGTGTTCCCTGAGTATGTCTGTAGTCGGGGAGTATGAAGATTGAAGAACAGAGCCTTCATGACAAAACGACGGTGTGTAATGGAAGATGTGAACATGTAGACAAAACCATGGATTTCACACAGAAACATAACCTGATCTACTGCTGGTCTGCCACAATAATAAAAACATTGAAAGAAGTTAGCAGATGATGCTATATAGGGACAGGTCCAGAACGAGAAGATGCCGGAAATGGCAGTATCGAGTGTAAACCCCAAGGACCCGGACGACTGATTCCAGACGTTTACGCATTCCTTGGACCAGCCGTTGGATTTGACGTTGCGGAATCCTTTGCCATTCCTGATGTAAAGCAGCATCCAGTTCATTGACAATCTGCTCTGGTAGATCTCTCGCACGTATTCTATGCTCCAAAATGTCCCATTAGTGCTCGATGGGAGAACATACGACAGGAGGCAGAGAAATACAGCTGTGACTGCCAAGAACATCGTGTTTATTGTTTAAGGCCAGGTTCACATAGTGCCGATTATGGCTCCCGTTTGAGATCAGACAGCGCTAGGGGACACGGATGGCCCAGTCGTCTAAGGCGCCGCAATTCGCTGTGCAGAGTTGCGTCCCTTGGGCACGCCAGAAACCTATGATTGTGGGTTCGAATCCCGGTTCACCCCGATTATGTTTCTAGGTTTGTCAGCACCATACCCGTGCTCGTGGGTTTCATCGAAGTGGTAAGTGTCTGACACCTGCATCACTTCGGGCTTTCCTCCCACATTAAGCTGACACGCCGCGATATAACTGGAATACTTTTAAAAGCACCGTTAAACCAAACTCACTCACTCAGACAGCGCTACGACACGAAAAGTGAAAAAGTCGGATTACTTTCCTCAATGATCTGGAATGTCCTATCATTGTCTGAACGCAGCCGTTCGTAACGGGGTCCTACGGATCGGGAAAGGTCCAGAGAGGTCGGCCAAGCACTCCCGACAGTATGGTGCGTCCCATTCGGGAAACTCAGCGAATTTTGTCTAGTCGGATTACAATCTCGACTATGTCGTGACAGATTCTGCTGTATCGGATCAAAATCGTAACAATGTCCTGTGTTGTCTGGACCGTGTCCTGTGGATCGGGACGCTGTCGTGATGAACGGACATGCATTATTCATTGTCGTTTCTTGTCGATTGAGTCCAGATTGCGTCCAGATCTTGCCGAATGCGAACCGTCTTTGTCGGTTCACTGTCCGGTCACTGTCTGATCTCTGTCGAATCGCATTCAAGACGCTACCGGGACTGATTCGGTCGTTTTATACCATGCGGAAGATAAACATCGGATCAGATTCTGATTGAGAACGGGAGAATCGGGACGAATTCGGCTGGAAACGTCTGAATCGGGACGCTTCCTGAACAGTATCTGAATATCACAGGATCTTGATCAGACTTTTGACAAATTTTCATCGGGAATGGTCCTATCAAGGAAGGCAGTAAAAATCCTGAATGTGTGACTGAGCCCTAACGCCGCATTCAGCAATATCCCAATATACGTCTACATAAAGAAACCTCACGTCTATATGAAGCTATTATTAAAGTCTGTATGGATCTTTAACGACACACAAGAGAACTCCCGCCTGTATGCAGTTTGGTTGACACACATGAGATCTTACATCTGTATGGATCTTTAACGACACACAAGAGAACTCCCGCCTGTATGGAGTTTGGTTGACACACATGAGATCTTACATCTGTATGGATCTTTAACGACACACAAGAGAACTCTCGTCTATATGGAGTTTTGTTGACACACATGAGATCTTACATCTGTATGGATCTTTAACGACACACAAGAAAACTCCCGCCTGTATGGAGTTTGGTTGACACACATGAGATCTTACATCTGTATGGATCTTTAACGACACACAAGAGAACTCTCGTCTATATGGAGTTTTGTTGACACACATGAGATCTTACATCTGTATGGACCTTTAACGACACACAAGAGAACTCCCGCCTATATGGAGTTTTGTTGACACACATGAGATCTTACATCTGTATGGATCTTTAACGACACACAAGAGAACTCCCGCCTATATGGAGTTTTGTTGACACACATGAGATCTTACATCTGTATGGATCTTTAACGACACACAAGAGAACTCCCGCCTATATGGAGTTTTGTTGACACACATGAGATCTTACATCTGTATGGATCTTTAACGACACACAAGAGAACTCCCGCCTATATGGAGTTTGGTTGACACACATGAGATCTTACATATGTATGGATCTTTAACGACACACAAGAGAACTCTCGTCTATATGGAGTTTTGTTGACACACATGAGATCTTACATCTGTATGGACCTTTAACGACACACAAGAGAACTCCCGCCTATATGGAGTTTTGGTGACACACATGAGATCTTACATCTGTATGGATCTTTAACGACACACAAGAAAACTCCCGCCTATATGGAGTTTTGTTGACACACATGAGATCTTACATCTGTATGGATCTTTAACGACACACACGAGAACTCCCGCCTATATGGAGTTTTGTTGACACACATGAGATCTTACATCTGTATGGATCTTTAACGACACACAAGAGAACTCCCGCCTATATGGAGTTTTGTTGACACACATGAGATCTTACATCTGTATGGATCTTTAACGACACACAAGAGAACTCCCGCCTATATGGAGTTTTGTTGACACACATGAGATCTTACATCTGTATGGATCTTTAACGACACACAAGAGAACTCCCGCCTATATGGAGTTTTGTTGACACACATGAGATCTTACATCTGTATGGATCTTTAACGACACACAAGAGAACTCCCGCCTATATGGAGTTTTGTTGACACACATGAGATCTTACATCTGTATGGATCTTTAACGACACACAAGAGAACTCCCGCCTATATGGAGTTTTGTTGACACACATGAGATCTTACATCTGTATGGATCTTTAACGACACACAAGAGAACTCCCGCCTATATGGAGTTTTGTTGACACACATGAGATCTTACATCTGTATGGATCTTTAACGACACACAAGAGAACTCTCGTCTATATGGAGTTTTGTTGACACACATGAGATCTTACATCTGTATGGATCTTTAACGACACACAAGAGAACTCTCGCCTATATGGAGTTTTGTTGACACACATGAGATCTTACATCTGTATGGATCTTTAACGACACACAAGAGAACTCCCGCCTATATGGAGTTTTGTTGACACACATGAGATCTTACATCTGTATGGATCTTTAACGACACACAAGAGAACTCTCGTCTATATGGAGTTTTGTTGACACACATGAGATCTTACATCTGTATGGATCTTTAACGACACACAAGAGAACTCTCGTCTATATGGAGTTTTGTTGACACACATGAGATCTTACATCTGTATGGATCTTTAACGACACACAAGAGAACTCTCGTCTATATGGAGTTTTGTTGACACACATAAGATCTTACATCTGTATGGATCTTTAACGACACACAAGAAAACTCCCGCCTATATGGAGTTTTGTTGACACACATAAGATCTTACATCTGTATGGATCTTTAACGACACACAAGAGAACTCTCGTCTATATGGAGTTTTGTTGACACACATGAGATCTTACATCTGTATGGATCTTTAACGACACACAAGAGAACTCCCGCCTATATGGAGTTTTGTTGACACACATGAGATCTTACATCTGTATGGATCTTTAACGACACACAAGAGAACTCCCGCCTATATGGAGTTTGGTTGACACACATGAGATCTTACATCTGTATGGATCTTTAACGACACACAAGAGAACTCTCGTCTATATGGAGTTTTGTTGACACACATGAGATCTTACATCTGTATGGACCTTTAACGACACACAAGAGAACTCCCGCCTATATGGAGTTTTGGTGACACACATGAGATCTTACATCTGTATGGATCTTTAACGACACACAAGAAAACTCCCGCCTATATGGAGTTTTGTTGACACACATGAGATCTTACATCTGTATGGATCTTTAACGACACACAAGAGAACTCCCGCCTATATGGAGTTTTGTTGACACACATGAGATCTTACATCT